TATTATCGGGAGGTTTTACGTGACGGCTTATTGTTGCCTATTTGCACGACTGGGAGTGCTTGAATTGCCTCCCTTTTATTTCTTCCAGCCGAGTGTTGAACACTCGGTGATCTCGTAAAAGGCTTACCCGTGCCTGGTACCCTTCCGCTGTTGGGACCACGAGGATTCAAAACACCTGCTAGCTTTGCTCGTGCTAGTAGCGTGTTCTTATTTTACTGGTTGGCCTATATAAGTAGTTTACAAGGTCCAGTTTGTCCCGGTGCAAGGGCAGAACTGGGGTCTTCAGGTCCGCCCGAACGATCGTTTACTATCCTAGTAGACGTATTGTTGTGGGAACATCCTAACTACATCTTTAGCTAGAGTTCACGTGGGATTTCCAACACCACAGAGGTCTAGCACCTTCCCTTCCTCACATACACTACACCACTACTCTTACACTTGAACGAAGAGTTCACTTCACCTGCTGTCCGCCCTCGTGGGACAAAAGGGGGCTCTGGGAAGGGACCCGATGGCGTTAGGTGCCTTAGTCCCACGTTGAACGAGAATCAGTGTTCCCGGACCACCCTATAGAGACACTCTAACGGGTTCGGCCTGGGGTACGCGAGCCGTCGAGTTCAACGAGAACCATCCTGACGGGACGGCCGGACGAGGAGTAGCTACAGGACCTCGGGTCATCCCGTCGGGACGCACCGCTCCTGGAATTGCCCCCCCTCCCTCGTTTCCGGGTACGGGACACTAGTATCTCACTGTGACACAGACAAAGGCGATCGAGATGGAAAACTGCAAACGCTTGCAGTGGTTTAATGTCGAAAGAGCGAAATCAAGGTATTTGTTCTTGTTCTCTACCGATAGCCTCGTCTACATCGTGCATCTAATAAACCTGCAGCCTGTAACGCTAGATTAATGCGCTCAGCAGTGCCAACTCACGACGCCAGCCTTGCCGTCACTCTCACAGTTGTCCCGTACTCCATCTCCCTCACGGTTGGTTAGTAATACTTCAGCTAGTCGAACGCTAACGACATCTGGTTGGTGGATTTAAACAGATTACGCAATCTTTGAAAAATATAATAGTATTTTAAGTTGATATTTAATAATTTCATTTTGTCTCAGAAGAAATATTTGGTGATATTTTTTTATTAACTGGTCTACAGGTGATATTTTCAGAATATTAACTTCACTGATTTTGGAGTTACCATTAACCCCTGCCCGTGAGTTCGCTTTGACTGCGATGATCGGATATCAGCATGACATCCGTCCCCAAAACCTAAACGCAGAAATCTGCCTGAATATGGAACGCCTGATATAAATTAAGAAAGAGATTGCATAAGCTGACAATGCCTCGCTAAAAAAGACTATAATATCGGATCATGTGTATGTATTGAATTAAGTTAGGATAAATTGAAGATTCGACTTTTGAATGAAACCAGAGTGATTCCAGCAGTGCTGAATCGTAGAAGCGCTATTATAACTTTAAACCGTGCAGCCTCGCACCAGAGCAGTGCAGTTAGCTGGTCGACGTTGTACGGGTTGTCGAGGCCTTCGCCTAGGCGATCCAATGCGAGCATCATTTTTTGCGATAAGACGTAGCGTTTAATGCTAATGATGATCCCCTCAACACGGACGTTGCTCAGACAGAGACCAACCTTTGCGCCTTCTTGCGTACAGCCTTCTCCACAGGCCGTCCGCGCAGCACAGCACTTGATTTGAGTAAACGGCATATTGTCGTTTTGCCAGGGGCCGTTGGAAGCCCAAACTCTTCAACCGCCGACTCAGCTAGCTCATTATACGACAGCTAGCAGCCTTCTCCCGGATGGCTACCTTCTCGGACCAGGTGAGGCGGAGACGATTGGAGGACATGGGGGTGCTGAGGACGCAGTCGGCTAGTGAGCTTGAATGTAAATGTAGGAATGAAGTTCGGCTCGTAGGCTTGAAGCGAAGGAGGATTACCTACTGCGCGCCATTTTTAAATTGAAATCAAAGTCAGTGCCTGGATTGTTTTGTCAGTACCTTGCCCATCACTACCTAAATCTTTCCCGACTATAAAAATTGCGAGGTTATTAGTTGAAACCTTGCTCCTAATTCAGGCAGATTTCTGTATTCAATACTGCAGGTTTTTCTTGGGTGGAGAGTGAAGGACTTTGAAGAAGGAGGGGGGCGAATGTTTGTAGCATTTTTGAATTTGTAGGCAAGCTTTTTGTGCTTCTGATCCTGGTGAGTCGAACGGCGTCAGAGCACCCCGACTAAGCCCCAATTACGAGATTATGAGCAGCGCCGTGACTGCCTCGACTGCGGCCTCTGCCTCCTCCACTATCGCCACATCGACACTTTCCTCTGGCGATAGCGTATTGCCGCCAACCAAGCGACAGAAACTCAGCGAAGAAGCCGCTTCCACTTTTGTGACCGACAGCGACTCGAAGGATAACGTGCTGGATGTGTCAGCTACGGAGAACACAGGCGACGCCCAGAAGAGCTATCCGAACGTGGCGCTGAGTCTGCAGAAGGAACCGTTCTGGATGCTTGGCGACGTAGACAGTTTCGGCGGTCTGGGTCCCATTCCGTCCATGAACGCGGTGTTGGAGAAGCGCACGTCAAGTCAGTTTTCCATTAGCTCGCTGCTGCCCCCGTCCGTGAGTGTCTCGAGTACTGGTGTGTTAAACACAACTGTTACACGGAGCGAGAGCGCAGTGACAGATAGTGTTGAAGCAACTACCGATAATGAAGGCCAAGGATCTGCACCAAGGGTGTCTACCACAACTGCAGAGGGGTCTGGTGGCAACACCAAGTACATGGACCCCACTACGGGCGACTACATGTACCCGGACAACGTCAAGCCCATGAGCTTCTACGACAAACAACGTCTTGTGCAGAAGATTACGATGCTTCCCAGTCAATATCTGCGTGGCCTCATGGACGTCATCAGCAAGTACCAGCCAGATACTGTACGTCAGATCGACGACGATGGCTACGCGTTCGATCTGGGTCAGATGAACGAGAATACTGTGTGGGCTATCAGTGACTACGTAAAGGACTCGATGATTGAGCTGGATGGATACATTAAATCACTCAACCAAACTGCTATTGACCTTGCTGCCGGTGAGGATCGACATGGAGAAACTGTTCTGACGGCCGCAAGTGCGGCTACACCCACCAGCAGTGCGGTTCGCCACTTGACCGACACTCTGGCGATGAACACGTCCAAGATGTCTGTCATCACTAATAACGAGAATCAGAATAAATTCCTGGAACAGGTGGAGATGTATTCCAAACCCAAAGTGACCAAGTCGCGTGTAAAGCCCAGCAAGAAGCACCAGTGTCCGACGTGTAACAAGCAATTCCGCGGACGCTCCGAGCTGCAGAACCATATCAGAACTCACACAGGCGAGAAGCCACTCAAATGCTCGTACGCGGGATGCACGAAGCGATATGCACACAGCTCGAATCTGCGTGCACACGAGCGAACACACGCCGGAATAAAGCCGTATACATGTCACTACGACGGCTGCGGGAAGAGCTTCGCCCACTCTGTATCACTTAAGGAACATATTTGGATGCATGCAGGATTCCAGCCCTACGTGTGTCCGTACGAGGGATGCCAGAAGAAGTTTACGCAGGTCTCAAATTTTGCCCGACACAAGAAGACGCACGAGAAGGAAGACAACGAACACTCGATTGAGAGCGATAATTAGTCCCGTAACAACTTGGGTACAAGTATAATATACGACGTAGTACTTGTTATCATATTATGACTCTTGATAATAAGAACAAAGCACTTTTAGCATAATTTCCCCTGTACTGTATTAGTCGCCATTCGCTTGGCCTCGAAGCTTCGATACCACGAGCGTGCGTTCACGTCCGCCCATCTCGAACTTTGCGATCAACAGGGAGCGCCTAGTCGTCTCCAGGCGCACGGTGGGCAGCGGCGGATCCTCGTCGCGCTCGGCAGCGTCGTCATCGTCGTTTCCTTCTGCGAACTGTCCTAGGTCGATGGCCTTCTCAGCGATGCAAGTGAAGAAACCATTCTTCTGGTCAAGCGCTGAATATACGAGGTCTCCCTCTGCCTTGAGCAGCAGCCCGTGCCCGTCGTTCAGCACAAGCCCCAGAGTCTCTCCGCTCATCTTGACGCAGCTTTTCTATCTGCACAATCGATCATTAAGTTCCCGCGCGTTAATGACATTTACACACAATGAAGATTTCAATTTTTCAGCCAATCCGATCACACTATTTTCCTTTCCGCCAATCCCGACTGGGGTTGAAGGTGTTCTTCTCCGAAAAATTAATAGTGCACTGCTCAAGATGAAGACTCTCACCCGCCCGACGCGTCGCTCTAGCGCGCGTACCTCCCGCCGCCGTAGCTCCAGCGACATGTCGGCTGCTTTATCGCCTCCGCCAGACTTTGCTGCGTCCAACGCTCTGTCATCCGACCCCGACGGATCTCTAGAAGTGACATTCTGCGCCGTTCAGCGTGTGCACAACCGCTCATTCCTGTTGCTGTGTACGCGCTCCGACTGGCGCCTCTACCGCCTTGATGGCTTCAACGCGTCACGAGATAGCTGCTCGCCCGTGCAGGTGCGTGTCTCGTGCCCCCTACTTCTACAATTGAGTGCTAATACCCTTCTCAACCTAATGACACAATGTGCAATGTCTAGCTGCTAATCGACCTCGAGAAGGACGCAGCGCGCCTCTCCAGTGTTCGCTTCTTCCAGCTGTACGAACTTCCCACAGAGACGGACTTGCCGTCGGCAGTAGGAGCTCTCTTCGTGTCGGAACGAAGCTCCTCGCTGCCTTCGAGCGACGGCGAGGACGATGATTTTGTGTCTGCAACCGCTGAGGATGAGGACGACGGGCACGAGGAAATATCGGTGCTAGCTCTGGGCGAGCAAAAACTGCTTCACAAACTACCGCCATCGCCCTCGCTCGTGCTGGACATCCAGACAAACGCAACGACAGCGGCGATACTGTGTGAGACTCGGGAGCTTTTCCTTTACGATTTGGCCACTTTCCAGTTGCAACAGACAATCGTCACGGCTTCTCCGGCTATGGCTCTCGGTCCACGTTGGCTGGCATATCCAGGATTCGCACAGAGTAGTGATGCAAGTCAAGCCAACGGACGAGACCAGTCGAGAACAGGCCAAGCAGACAGCGACTCGGACTTCGACGACGTTCCGATTGACGCTCTGGCTAGCGGTGGGATGACCGTAGAAGCCCGTGACGCGCCGCACAGCTCCTCTCCGTCCTACACAGCAATTGACGTGGCTCAGAATGTAGCCTCGGGGCTGTATTATCTTTCCGAGTTCGGACGAGCCACCATCGCGCCATATTTGTCATCCTCCCCTGGCAAACCGCCCAATGGATTACACAATCATCACACACAAACGTCAGGAACTGGTCGGCGCAGCTCGGGACGGTCAAGAAACTCGTCTTTCAGTGGCTCTACGAACAAGGAACCGCTCAGAAGTCAACCGAGTGATGATGTAGCAGCGTCAGTGTCAAAGAAACACCCCGGGTGGGCTGTGGTGCTAGACCTGGTGACTAAGCGCGTGTTGGCGAACTTCCCTTGTCATTCCACTGCACTGGTGAACTTGTCGTTGAATTTCTCGGGACTTCTGTTGGCTACGAGTTCCACCAAGGGACAAAACCTCCATGTATACAGATTATCGCCTCCGTTGCAGAGTGTAGTAAACAAACTGGGAGGATCGTCAGTAGCTGGATATGGAACACTCTGCCATCAGTTGGTGTACAAGTTACAGCGAGGAATCACCCACGCGACTATCCAAAACATCGCCTTCAATCAGGATGGCAAATGGATTAATGTCACGTCAGCACACGGCACCAGCCATCTCTACGCGTTGCATCCGGAAGGAGCTCGCATCAGTGCAGACACACATGCTAACACAGTGGAGAGTGCTGAATCGACTGCTGATGGGCTGGGCCCAGGCTTTCCACTACGACAAGTGAACGACTTTTATGCCGACTTCCGTGCGCTTGAGACGCGGACGCAGACTCAAGTGCTTCGGATCCGTCATGAGTTCAAGATCCCCACCGTCCCGACTGTAAATCACCACAAGGCTACAGCCCCAATTCATTCCAAATCACGTACCACTCGTTCGTCCTCAACGTCGTCTTCCTCGTCTGTGTCGTCAACGTCTTCCTCATCGTCTCCTACGGGCCCAGCATTTCAAAGTCCACCAGCTACTGGAGGCATGCGCAGTAGCACCATCATGGAATCAGCCCTAGGTGCATCGCAGGCTCTGCTCTCTCAGCTCGCCACATCCGCCATAGACTTCGGCCATCAGCACTTTGAAAATGACACGGATGTGGCCTCTCGTCGTCGTCGATTACGTCAGCGTCTGTGCTGCCTCTTTGCTCCTGATGGACTCAAGATGCTGACTTGCTGCGACGCTGCTCTCAAATTGTATGACATGCGAGTGACTGCGCTCGCCCAGCACAAGGCTGACCACGCTCGTGCCACGTCGTCTAACTCAAAAACGAAGAATTCCAAGTCGTCGCTGTCGTCCTATGGCTTTGAGGCGAGTGTCACGGAGCTCAAGTCGTGGGAACTGCTCGCATCGGGTCGTCGAAAATCGGAATCTCTTTCATCTGCTATTGAGGATCATGCAGCCTTGAACAACAATAATTTCAGTGGAGGAGACCCGAGTGCCAAGACTGAGCTAAGGACGTTTGCTCAGCGATCGCTGCCTCTGTGGGCCCATCCGAAGGTGACATTTAAAGCGATTGACGAAGACCACCCGGAAGGTCAAGTTCTTGAGGTCAAGCGTAAAGGTCCGAACCCGAGTCAAGACCTCAGCGCAAATACCATGGCCACGGCCCCTGAAGGGTTTGCTAATGGCGACGAACAATTGTTTGTGATGGAGATGGATTCATACTTTGGTATTGGCGGCTCTCCTGTATTTGATGGCCACGGAGACGGCCGTCCTACTACACCAGAGATTCCTCCTCCGCTAGATCTGGCCGCGAGTATCAATATGGCCATGTCCTCTTCGCTGTCTGAGACGCCGCCAAAGCCGATACCCGAGGTGAAGAACACAATCTGTTTTCGACCAGTTGATCAGAACGCTCCTCCTCCTCCTCATGTCATCAAAGTGAATGGCAATGGACCAACTCAGAAGACGAAGAAGAAGAAAACGAAGAACCGTCGAGTGCTCACACCAGCATCGTCTTGTGACAACGAGATTGAAGAAGGAAGCTCCTTAGGTGGGCTGGCGTCTCTGCAGTTTACGATGCAAGACATGTACTTTGCAGTACCGAGCGATGACGCCAGCGGTTAAACACACACGAAAGCTGACCTCTCCACTCAAATGTTTCGTAGCGCACAACCAATTCTCACAAAGAAGAACAACAAACACTCCACTAGGGTAGCCCAGAAAATGAATTTTACATCCCTACAGCCAGAGAGGTCAAACAGCAGCAAACAGAAGATAAGGCTATCAATTGACGACCAAGTACTTTAGAAACTGGTACACTCATTTCTCTCTACTTGTTTGAAGGTGGCAGCTCCAGTCCGTTCTTCTTAGGCTGCAGCATAAGCTCCACGATCTGCTCAACTTGCTTTCTCAACTCCAGTGTCACTTCCTCTCGTGTCTGGCCCACACGGCCTGCAAGTTCAACGTAGTATTTAAGTTTGGGCTCTGTGCCGCTTGTACGTAGCGTGGCAACGCATCCGTTGGCGAAGGTGTACGTGATCATTTCGGTCGAACTGCTGACGGGAAGCACAGCGCGTCTGTCTGGCTGGGCGTTGTCGTAGCCCGTGGTAAGGTCGCGCACTTGTGTGATCGCAAAGTCGCCACAACTTTTCCAGTATTTCCCGTTCTTGCGCAGACGCTCGAAGATAGAGCGAATCTTGACGGGGTCGTAGCACTTGACGTAGTTGTTTTGCGTCACAAAGTGGCCGTAGCGCTCGTAGAGAGCGTTGAGATGCTGGTCTACCGTCATCTTTTTGGTGGTTTCGAGCTGAACTGCCATCTCAGCGAACACAGCGGCAGCAACTACACCGTCCTTGTCTTTCACGAGGTCACCCACACAGAATCCGATGGCCTCCTCAAACGAGAACAAAACAGTCTTGCCAGCATTGCGCAGCTCAGCAGTCTTGTTACCCATCCACTTGAAGCCTGTGAGCGTCTCCTCGAAGTTCAGACCCTCGGCGTTCGCGACAGCTCGCAGCATTTTGGACGATACTGTCGATGCGATGAAGTACAGTTGCTTACGGTCGCAACTCGGGTTTAGGCGTAGATACTGCTCAAGTTCCCAGTAGCCCAGTAGAACGCCAATCTCGTTGCCTGTAAAGACGCGCCAGCCAGTTTTCAAGCTCGGATCACGCTCGGCCACTGCCAATCGATCAGCATCAGGGTCGTTAGCTAGGATCAGTCTCGCTCCGTTAGCCTCAGCAGTCTCCATGGCAAGTTGAAGAGCTCCCTTGCCCTCTTCCGGGTTGGGGAAATCCACAGTGGGGAACTCGGGATCAGGCAGAAGCTGGGCCTGCACAGATACGTATTCCTTATGACCAAAAGCCGCAAAGGAGCGGCTCGTGAACGCGTGGCCAACACCGTGCATGGCTGTGTAGGCGATCTTGAGCGTTGTGTTAGTATTGGCCTCTGGAAAGCGGCACAGCCTTGCTTTGGCCTGCTCAAAGTAGCGCTTGGTAAGCTCCTCCCTTGGGTTCTCGATGAGATTAGGGAAAAACTTCTTAAGGTCCTCGAGCGAGTCGTCGTACAGTCTCCAAGGGGCGAGGCTGGCCATGATCTCATTGGCGATACCATCGTCGTGAGGCGGGACGATTTGGCTGCCATTGCTCCAGTAAACCTTGTAGCCGTTGTCGGCCTTGGGGTTGTGCGAGGCGGTGACCATCACGCCGGCCGCACAGCCCTTCTGCTCGATACAGAACGGCACCAGCGGCGTAGCTACGAATCCCTCGTATAGATATACCTTGAAGCCACAGTGCAGACAGACAGCGGCTGTGAGCTCTGCAAAGCGCTTGGAGCTTAGTGTTCCATACTGGCGGTGATCGTATCCCAACGCCACGCCCATACTCTTGACCTGATCGCCAAATTGCAGCGTCAGGTATTTGCAAATACCCTGAGAGGCCTGTATAACTACCAGGTCGTTCATGGCTGCGGGTCCAGGCCCCATCACGGCGCGAAGACCAGCAGTTCCGAAGGCTACGCGACTTCCGAACAGCTCGCGAATGCGGGCTACATCCTTAGCCGCCACGAGCTGCTCTACCTGCGCCTTGGTCCCGGCGTTCACGTCCCACTCCACCCACTGCTGCGCCTCATGCAGCCACTGCTCGTCAGTGCGTGTTGTCATTGCTCGGTAAGCTTATTACGACGTAGTAATAGATTCGTGCGAATGGAAAAGTGAGCGAGCTCGCATTCAGATCTGGATGCTCGAGTCTTTGATGAATACAAGCCTGCCATCTGGCCCTACCGTCTTACCCCGCATATAAGGCATATGTGCTGTAAATGAATACAACACTGCTTGTGTGTTATATTCGTTTAGAAAGCCTATGTGTTGTACAGCGAACAAATTGTTTGACTTTGAAGAATCAAGTTTGTGGGTCCTGGAATCTGGCTTGCTTGACCCTCCTGTCCCGCCTGCGTGCAGTTCACATGATGTTGTGATTGGTAACGGGTTTTTCTTTCTGTTGCGGAGGTTTTGCTTGTTACTGTAATATTATGAATTCTATTATTGTTTTTTTTTCTTTTAATAAGAATTGTTTGCATTACATGTAATCACGTGTATTATATTATGTATCCATCTACTTTCACTGCGAAATATGATCCGGAGCGAACCAAGCACAGCGTTTTCAGAGGATTTTCAGCCGTGTACGAGAATTTGGACACCAGCTTATTGTCCTTGTCAACAGTACTTACCTATAGCTACGTCGCTCAGTACTCAGGGCTGTGTTAATATTTTTTTTAGAGAATTAAAGCCGAGTAACAGCAGCACCGACAAGTTTGTTCAGTAGGGTGGTTGGTTGGGAGCTCTCACGAATATTCATTGGTTGGTACAGCCTTGTGTTTTAAGTAGGTGTCAGCCACATGTGTTCTAATTAGGTAGGTGGTCAAATTGAGGTTTAAGCTAGATGTCGAGCGATCCCGTATTTTATTTAGAACACATATGCCTTATATGCGGGGTAAGACGGTAGTACCATGTACCAGATATCCCAAAGTGTGACGTGTCACATTTCATGTAACTAGGGCTACACTTGAGGGAGTACTCCGATAACCGTGGGGTTGCTGAGGGCTCACCTTGTGTAACGAGGTACAATCCAGTGTACCCCAGGTTACATAAAGAGTGACCCGTCACTCTTGTGGACACCTTGGTACACGGTACCAGATGCTCTAGGAGCCAGTCAGCTGACTACTTACCTCCACTGTAGGTAACCTCTAGTTTGTAGAGGATCCACGCTAAGCTTACTTGTAAATACATCAGTCTTATATCTACTCCTCTAAGTAGCAAACTGCTCCCTTTGAGGCCGGGAACACGTGGACTAACGCTCACTGGAGTAGTTAATTTCCTTAAGCACTTTCTCGTGCAAGGTGATGTGTGACCCCGTCACACCTGGTAGCACTCGTAGTCAATCCTACACCATCGCGGGTAGATTACACTACCTAAATCCTCTGTTCGCTCAACGTTTGAGCCACGATGGATCGAAGTGAGTATCCTCGCTTAAACGACTCACAGTACGGGTCTGTTCGGAAGATGGGAGGCATCTTTGGACAAGATGTCCTCCGCAGCTTGGCGGCGGCGACGCCTGCCGAGCAACACAAACGCGTGATCGCGTTTGAGACCTACGAACGTGGTCTCATCGCTCACGTCCGCGGGAGTTTGGAGGCCTCGATGGCCGCTCCCCACGCAACCAGGTCTAAGCCGATAAGGCTGGAGGGCCCCGCGTTTGAAAAGAAGGAAGGAGAGAACCTTCACTTCTGGGTCCGTGAGGAGGAGATCGCCATGAAGGCAGGTCTCATCTCGGACGAACCACTTCGGGTGGCTTATGCCCTGTATAACCCTGGTGGACGTGTCAAGCACTGGGCATACGCCAGGGAGACGACATCTCCTGGATGCTTTGCATCCTGGGCTCAGCTGTGTGAGCAGCTTCGAGCCGCGTTCCTACCGGCGAACAGCGAGTTTCACCAGCGCTCACGCTTTCTCGCGTGTAAGCAAGGTAAACGTGAGGTGCAGGAGTACGTGCAAGAGATGCGCACGTTGGTGGCATCTCTGGCAGGGAATCCTCTGCCTGAAGACATCAAGACAACAGTCTTCATGGACGACCTGAAGGTCGGTCCTGCTCGTGCCCTGCTATTCCGGGTGCAAGCGAATACTATGGAGGAGGCGATTCAAATCGCCCTCCAAGAAGAGTACAGCCACAAGCAGGCTGGTACTCCTCGGGAAGAGGGACATCGTTATGATGAGGATGGCGTTCCTCGGGAGGCGGAGCATTACAGCAATGACGCTGTTGCTCCTGCTGTCACGCAGCCCGTTGATACCGGTGCGTACAGCGAGCCCGAACCCATGGACTTAAGCTCAGCCGAGAGCATGGTCCGCTGCTACGGATGCGGCGGACATGAACGCTACCAGCGTGTGTGTCCCTCGCCAGTCCTCGGGAAGAAGACAGCCCGTGGACCCCAGGCCCGGTGGCACAGGCTCCCCGGCGACCAGTAGAGGCGGTATACCCTACTTAACCCTTCTAGCCCGAGCTTTTATTCTGTATCCTACAGAATAAGGAATTATACTTGATAAAAGTATACTTCATAAACCTCCCATAATTATCCTGCTGCAACCCCCTTCGCTCTCCATGGCCAAGAACTAGGCGAATTTTTCACAGAAACATTACGACAGTGGACATAGCGTTCACAATGTACCCAACAGCTGCGCAAATTGCGATTTTCTATTGGTTCATCTTCGGTTAGAGCACAATCAATACCTGCATTCTACCAATACCCGAGATTTTCGTTTAGGCTCATGAAGCCGATCGAGCAGCCCAACTCCTTGACGACAGCCATCCGTTCGTGGCGCCAAAATGCGCGGCGCGCGCGCAGAGAAAGAAATTTGCCCAGTTCCTAACTAACGGTTTAGCGACGAGGAACAGGGCAAACTCTTCTCTGCGCGCGCGCCGCGCATTACCAGGGATTGGGGACTTACCCTTCCTACTATCTTTCCTACGCTTCCTCGTCACTCTCTCTCTTACGCTTACGGAATCTAATCTTCTTCTTTAGGCTAGACAGAACGCTCTTGCCGTCACCCCACGTCTCGTGCCAAATCTGCGAGCAAGTCAGCGTATTCTCGCTCTCCACGCGCCGCACGTGACGGCAGAGAGGTACGCGCCCTCCAAAGGCATCGCTGCATCGCGGGCAGAAGAAACTGGTTTCAAATGACTTGGTTTTGAAGTCAGCTAAAGCGGAGCACACTTTGCACAGGTACTGCCTGCGTTTGTGCTGCTTGCCGGACGAATAGAAGTCATCGGTGTTCACTAACGCGTGCTGCTGACGTGACATTCGTACAGCCACCAGGTCCTCTGCGTTTGGGTGGGTCTCGAAGCTGATTGTCTGCAGGGCGAGCAGCTGAATGTGCAAACGACGCAGGTATTATGCATGGGTAGGTCGTTTTTCTCCTTTCTTCTTGAGCGTCACACAGTGAACGATGTATCCATTCACGACAGCCATGTCTACGATACACAGGAATAACTGCTTGTAGTACTTGCGAAGCGATATACACTTTTGGATGCTGTAGCGCTGGAGTCTCAGCTGGTCGTGGACGTCCACGCCGCCCATGCCACGATTGTAGTCCACAACCAGCTGCGGACACGGCACCGTGCTTCGCGTGCCATCTTTCTCCAAGCGCATAACGCTGGCGGGGTGAGTGCTGCAACCAGCAGCGAGCATGTTCACGGGCTTTGAATCCATCCAACTCAATGCAACTAACTGAGGGTGATCACGTGCTTGTGCGATACGATAAATTCCTCTTGGCATTCGCTCCGGTCGTTTCGCCTGCGTGAACTGGATCGGACACCAGCCAAGTCGATCAATTCTCGTGGTGCCAACATGATAGAGACCCATATCCAGCAGCTTCAGACTCAGTGAGACCGTTGAGTAGAAGCTATCCGCTACGATCAGGCGCTTCCTCGGCTGACCCACCAAGGCTTTCGATATGTTTCTAGCGACAGCTTTTGGACCATGCCCCAACGGATCACTTGGCGTCTTCTTCTTTTTGCCGTCTGCCCCACAATAGATTTCCAATCTAAGTCGGATAGATACAGCATATCATGAGAGACTGTCAGTGTATTCTGTAGCCTCCGGAATTGCGTATTCAAGGATGTACAGACTAATATGCAGTACCTTGAACAATATGCTGTATCTGCGCAGCATGTCATGTAGAACTTGGTGCCGTACTTGCTGGGCTTGTCGGGCATGAAGATTCGCATCGGATTGAACTTGCTGCGGTTCGGCATCATGCCTTCGTCGAACGAGATGACCTTACCCAAGCGATAGCCACGGCGGAATGTTTTCTCAACAGCTTGCAACACAGGACGGATTTTCCAAGCTCTGTTAGCATGCGCTCCACCGTCATCATTGCAGAAATTTCATGATCGCCTCGAAGCGATCGCGCTTCATGAAGCGAGAGAACATCCCGCGTGGAATGGCTCCATCTTCTTCAGTACTCCAGTGATTGGAGAGCCCGTCTCGAATCGGAGCGACAGCTCGTGCAAAGAGCAATCCCACGACGTGCAAAATCTCATGAGCTTGAATACGCTTGAATTTCCTCAACTTGGCTTCGATATCTTCTAAGTTGGGCAAACTCACGCGAGGATCCTCAGCTTGGCGAGCAAGCATCTTTGGTCGACGAGATAATGCCACAGCACCAATATTCTGCTCTCGGTAGCGATTCGTCTCATCAGCAATTCGAATCCATAGCTCCTTCGGTAAAAAGTAGAAGAACATGGCCAATGGAGAGTGCGTATGCGACCGCAGACCGTGTGGGTCCGCACGGTCCATCGTAATAGTCCGTTGCAGCGTCCATCCGGAGATTCCCCGTAGTAAACACACAATCCGGAATAAGTACAATTGCACCACACACTAATCTGTATCATACGGCTTACCACTTTCCGCTTCGGCATAAGTAATCCATCCATTCTCCGCGATGTCTCGCAAATCACCACTAGTCAGGTCAAAAAGTCCCTCCTCGGGGATGTCATCATTCAAAGACACGTCTTCTATATCTTCTACACCTTCTACTTCAAGGATTACTTCGTTGTCGTTCATCACGTCTTCGTTATCCGCGTCTGAATCGGAGTCGCTGGCATCTTGACCAGCCACCACGTTCACATCATCACCATCTGTCGGGCCGAACAATCGCTCTTTTCAGAGACCCTCCATGAAGTTGTCGCTATCAAACACATCAAAATCTACACGATAATCCGCAGGGTCGTCACTCTCGCTCTTTGCTTCATCAGCTTCCGTTGATTTCTCTCGCGGGTTCCATTCTGTATCAGAGCCTTCATTTCTCCTTTCTTGTTCTGTATCCCCCGGGACTGTAAACTCCGTATTCCCATGTTCTGTATTATCCAGATCGTGGACCTGCAAGGCTTCATCTTGTTCTGTACCATCCGTTATAGCCAGTTGAGCTTGAACTTCAGTCGATGGCTGTAGTCCTGCCGGATTCACCTCCGGCGTCAACGGAGCGGTCGCTAGAGGTTGAACACGTGCACTGACTTGAGGAGCACTTACTTCTGGAGTTTGGGCGGATTCAGTCGCCGTTACGGAAGGTGGTGGCGCGGACGTGGTGAGCGGTGGATGGCCATGGGGAGGTTCCTCCCCAACAGCTTCGTACGATGCTTGCTTGCCAATCGGACGATGTGCAGGGCCAACACGCACGCTTGGGAGTGGATGCTGGAGACGACCGGATGCACGTCCAAATGCCATGAGTTCAGCTTCGCCTGATAAACACACCATTGTAAGTATTGAGCATTATTAGGTCAGTTAGCATTGCAACGTACCCTAAAAAACGTCAATGCCGCGTCTCAATTCATCAAGACGTCCCGTGATTCCTGGCTTCACGTAGCGGTGATGCTTGGCCATGCGCGTGGGTTTGCGGGGCTTCCATCCGTCCTTGCATAACTCCCGCCACAGCTGCTTGAATGTCTTATCTCCGGGGCCGGTCATTGTTCAGAGATGATTTTCGAATGGGAGGGACTGATTGCCACGCGGCAGTTCTGGGCTTTCACTCTAATTTTCAAGCCTGTTCTGATTTTATATTGGTCTTTCTACTCACACAGAAGCATCCCCGTCAATCTACCCTTCACCAATCCAACGGGAAGGATCTGCTGATTACCACGTATACAAATTCTCATATGCGGACTTGGGGGCAGCAGCCAACTTTGCTGGGTACTAAATCCTGTTTAACAGCTTATTCTGTAGGATACAGAATACCGGGCTAGAAGGGTTAAGAGCGCTAAACCTTCGTGATGGGTCTGCAGGTTGTGCGCACCACGGGACTTAGCCCAGCGAGACGTGGTTCTCTCAAATTGGTGAAGGGCAGTGATGGGCTGCTGGTAGTACACTCGGTGTACGGGGATACGGTACCCCTTGAACGTTTGATGAGTTCTGGGGCGTTGATACGCCGCCGAAACGCCGCTTGACATAGCGACACCCGACTGCACTCTATGTCAGAGTGCTGGTCTTTGGTGGACTAGCCTTTGGTTCGGTGAAGGAAGTACCAATGGTCCGCAACGGACCTGAACGTTTGGGTTCGATGAACTTGCGCACCGTGGTGTCGCTCGCAGTTCTCGCCATGAAGAACATGGCTGTGTCGAACATAAAGCACAGCCCGGACTTTGGTGAGGCAAAGCTGAGAAGAGCCTACTATGGCGGAGCATTGGTGAGTCATGCTCCCACCTCCGCCATGACTGGGGCGTCTGATACAGACCGCCAGGACGCAGAAGCGTCACGGAGCTGTCGACGCGCCGATAGCGCTGCGTACAGTAAGACCATGCCCCGCTGCGGCAATGCCACGGGCATGGGTCTTTTGCCTGGCGTGTGACGTACTACACCAGCAGCGTGCAACGCCGAAGGTCGTCGCGCCGTACGGGCGTCGACAGTGGTTATGCCTTTAAGCGCTAACCAGGTGGGTAACTTAGGACCACACGGTCGCCCAGACCTTACCCGAAGAGGGAGGCGCTGAATGCGCTTCCTGCGTGGCTAACACGGACCCACACACGGTCGCCCAGATCTTATGTGACGGGGCCACACATCACCTTGCGCTAGAGGAAGTTAGCTTCCAAGAGTATACAAACTCTTAGTGAACGGCAGTTCACAGATCCCCTCTTTATCAAAAGAGAGCGAAGTGACCTATTTAAGGTAGAATGTAAACTGAGTATATTTATAGCTTGGGTTTAATACAAACTATAAGTCACCTATAGAAATGCAATGCCATCAACCAATGGTTGGCTTTGGACGACCTTGGTATTTTGTACAAAATATCCCGAAGTATGACGTGTCACACTTCATGTAGCCAGGGTACCCTTAGAGCTACGTACCCCGTTACACCTTAACTGAAGATGAAGGCGCTGAATGAGCTATCTGTGTAGATAACACAGTACCACATGCAGTCGCCCAGACTATAACTGAAGAGGAAAGCATTCACCATGCTTCCTGCGTAAGTAGCACAGTACCGCACGCAGTCGCCCAGAAAATAACTGAAGAGGAAAGCATTCACCATGCTTCCTGTGTGGGTAACACAGTGCCACACGAGGTCTCGAATGCCTCTGATATCGTCAACCCGACATCACGACGTGGGCAACGAAGTGCCACATCACGTCAGCCGCCGAAAGTCGGGTCTGAACCTTGTTTAGGTCGACGTCGCTTCAAGCGACTCGAAGTCCAGGGTCCGCACTCCTCTGACTCGGTCGGTGGACACCAACTCTGTCCGGTGTGTGTACGGGTCTGCCACACTAGCCGATCCCAACACCGAAGGTCGTCGCACCATATGGGCTTCGACAGTGGTGGTGCCGAAGGGCATTCACCAGGTGGGTGTGGTGTAGTGATTTCTCCATAGTTGCGGATAATCGCCCGTCGACAAAGACGCGACACCGCCCAAGTTGTTCAAGCGACGAACCCTCGGTCATGTGATGTACGGAGACGCCAAGGTGCAAGGGACTCGACGGCGTCAATACCGAACTCTCAACGGATATTGGATACGGTCCATATGTCACTGAATCCAGGCTGTCCTTATTATTAATAAGGGACTGGCCGAATTCGCATTCAGCGGCCAAGAACTGACCAATGACGGTACGAACCCTCGGTGGCGGTTGGGATGAGTTCGCGGAAGACTCAGCGACCCTTTGAAGGCACGTTCACCGTCTGGGACAGGGCGCAAACCGTGAAAGATACTCATGCGACGGTGCAGACGACGCTTGGCGTGCAAGAAGATCCATAACGGATCATTGTTCACTTGATATCTGTATACTTGATTAGGACTTCTAATTAGGAATAGACCCGAAAGGGTAAACATAAATACAGAACATAATTTCCACTCAAGCACACAGAGCGACGTCCGGCTTCAAGGTAAGCGTCTGGTCAAGCTTGTTTGAGTGTGTTATGCCTGTCGGTGAGCTCGAAGCTCTGTAGCGAGGGCTCATCCGTCAAGGCCAAGAGACTGTGTATTTTGGCCGATTACTTTCGGGAGGTTTTTACGTGACGGCTTATTGTTGCCTATTTGCACGACTGGGATTGCTTGTATTGCATCCCTTTTATTCTTCCAACCGAGTGTTGAACACTCGGTGACCTCGTAAAAGGCTTACCCGTGCCTGGTACCCTTCCGCTGTTGGGACCACGAGGATTCATAGCACCTATTAGCTTTGCTCGTGCTAGTAGTGTGCTCTTATTTTTACTGGTTGGCCTATATAAGTAGTTTACAAGGTCCAGTTTGATTCGGTGCAAGGGCAGAACTGGGGTCTTCAGGTCCGCCCGAACGATCGTTTACTATCCTAGTAGACGTAATGTTGTGGGAACGTCCTAACTACATTTGTAGCTAGCGTTCACGTGGGAATTCCAACGTTCTGCGACCCGGGAACAGATTGTGACCATTGTGAACTGTTTGTATGGCCTTCCAGTTTACGAGCTACCAAGATAAGAAGAACAAGAAATGAAAGCAAGAAACATGGTGAAAGGACAGCCGACGGTACCAGTTACGCCTGCCAAGTCTGGCGGGGCTCGCAACGAGCGTTCAAGCCCGGCTGCGCGCTTTGCAGCCGCCACTGAGCTGTCGGTGAGCTTTGACGACGAGACAGACAGCCGTCCTGACGCCCACGATTATGAAGATTACGAAGACAAGACGCCGGCTCCAGAGCCAGGCTCAGCGACACCGGAGACGGCCACGCTGTCATCAGGGCTGAGTGGGGCGACCAAGTCCCTTTCGAGGAACCTCGCCGACGAGCTACATGACGTAGCGGGACCGGAACCGGCCTATGAAGATTATGACGATGGGACCGAGGGTTTCAAACCTTCGGTGGCGAGTGCAAAACGTTCTGCATTGCTGAAGGCACCTCGCCCACCTATCAACGGTGATACACCAGCCGCCAAGCGCGTTTTCGACCGCGTACAAGCGCTGATGCAGAATGATGAGTGGATGCAGCTGTTCAAGCCCATCCCCAAGAAAAAAACCGACTGGCCTGCGCTTGCGCAGGAACTTCAATACCCAGTCAACTCGGTGTCGACCAGTCAAGTTGCCGAGGATTCAGTTTCGCTACTGTTGTCGCTGGGCTTCGAGAATGTGACGTACCCATCGACGACATCGCTCCAAGATTGGAGTCCTCATGAAGCCGGAGCTGCCCTCCAGAAATGGAAGAAGAAGCTTCGGAAGGCGTTCGGCGCTGTTGGCATCAAAGCTGGAAAGCAGCCTGTGAGTCGAACGATCGTTCAAGATGAAGATCCGTCCACGATTCCACTGCCGCAGACACCCCAACGACACGACCGTACCCCTCCGACCAAGCGTGGAGCTGTGCGTGGTGCATTTGGCACTACCGAAGCTTCACCGTACTTTCAAGACTCGCACATGGTTACGCCACGTTCGGAGAGCCGTATGCAACGTGTTTACGCCGGTAACGAGGGTTTGTTCGGTCGCCAGGGCGGTGCGCGAGCTCCTAAAGGTGGTGCCGGACGTCGTCAAGTCGACAACGATGGTTCGTCCAGTGACGATGACATTTTGGTGCGTACATTCGACGAGGAAGATCCTCAAGTCGGGTTGATGCGTCAGATGAATGAGCTGGCGACGCTGAACGACGTGGATCCTACGACTAGGATTGAAATGGCATCGCACCGATCATTGGATCGCATCAAGCCGTTCTCAGGCTCTCGCAACAAGAGCGAGAACTGTATGCAGTGGCTCCGTGGGTTCGTCTACGAAATGACTGGAACCCACACAGATGCCGACAAATGGTGCATTCCATTTGAGCTTAGTCTCCGGGACGGAACCATTCATTGGTTCCGTCAACTTCCGAAGAAGACGAAGCGCAAGTGGAAGCTGCCGAGCGATGCGTTCATCCGCTACTACTGCTCGCAGTTCACGCAGACGGCACTGTCACGTTACTACTCTGCAAAGCGGAACGTAACGAACATCTGTGCGACTACATAAACAGGCTGAATGGCTACGCTTGGACCGCCCGTCTACACTTCGAGATGAGTGGTCGCGACGCGAAAGAACACGTACAGCAGTTCCTTGCAACATGCAATGATGACAAGTTGGCGGACCACGCTCGAGTCGCCGATATTCACGAGTTCGAAGATATCATCGAAGATGTTCTCAAGGGCAAGGAGAGAATGGCCAAGCGTGCCAGTGAATACCAATACTCCAAAAGTCGTGATACGCAACGCGACGATGGGTACACCCGCAACAATCGGCGTGATGACCGTCGCCGCGATGACAACCGCAATAAACCGAGAGTGACGCTCATTGAAGCCACGGTGGATGACCTACTAGCTGAATTAGAGGGTCTTGAAGCTGCTCAGGGAGGCACCGAGTATTCAAGCGAAGATCCGAACGCTTACAACGATGTGCAAGACGAGTACAATGACTTTCGGCCCATAATACGGATGGTGACTTCTCATTGAATAAAAATGACCGATACCCCGCCGCGGCTAACGAAAATGAGCGCCGTGCAGCTGCT